AATTTTAACAGAAAATGCAAAGCAGCTATACACACAGGAAGCAATTCAGATACTTTTGCAAGATCTTGCCGTATAAGTAACACAGATGAGCATGCAGGAGGAATGTAAGTCACAACCACTGAGAGTGGATTGCAAGTGACAACGCAGAGCATTTCTACCAGCTCTTTGTGAGCTACTTACTATTACGATGTCCAGATCGAAGGTCAGGATATCAGGTAAAGTCTTGGTCAGAAGTTCAGCTTCAGATACCCCATTAAAGCGGTCCACTTTTCTTTTGACTTTAAAAGTATCTGTGATCTTCTCCTGTTTGCCTTTTGACTTAGTTGGTTTTTCTTTTTTAGCAGCAGGCTTTTTGGGTTGCTTTGGCTCAGTTGCTTTGGCTTTTCTCTTCCTTCCTCCTTTTTTAACTTCTGAAACACAGCAAATATATTTTCTGTACATTTCAAATGCTGCAGCATGGACATACAGACAGACTGAACGGAATGCATGAATACAAAAAGAAATCAAACAAAAATTTGTCTTCAAAATTTAAGAACTTAAACAATTACCAGATGAATTTTAGTTTTCCAGGCTCAGCACAGAGCCACTTTTCGTGTCTCTGCACCACAGACACACACTCTATTTACAGGCAACTGCACTGAATTAGGATACAAGCAAAGAATAATTTCTTGGCTAGGTTATGTTGCATACAGCATGTAAACAACAATCTTTTGGAAATAGCTTCATTTCTTTTGGAGAATATGCCGGAGCATGATATCTTTGCATTCCAAGCAATGCTAAGCTAAATTATAGCCTACTATTCCCACTTCAGCTTCCAAATATGAACGTTTGTTATGGATTACATATCAAAGAAACCAAACTGCACACCAAGAGCAACAGGTCTCAAATATTACCTGCAGTGTAAGGTATAAACTTGTCAGACAAACAAACACAGGAACTGAACTATTAGCTATTCACAATTTATCATTTACAGAACAGATACAGCCCAGTGCATCATATGGCAAGGCAATGTATGAGAGCTTATAGGTCTCCATTTGAAGGAGTGACACCAAACAATTTTTACTTACAAAATGCAAATATAAAGTAGTCACTACCCGCTCAATTGAAATTTCCTTGTCTTCTGGTCCCTTAAGCTTGGAGATTGAAACAGCACAGGTAATAGTCACAACACAAACCTAGAAATCACTCTCTATCTTCGTTCATTAATAATGTCAAGTTGCAGATCACCACTTGAAAACAGGGAAACTTACTTGGCAGCAATCAGCAAAGAGCCAAAGTAATCTATTAATTTAAAATTGAGACGTCATCATAATTTCAGTTTCTAGATGATATTCTCCCTCATAAAACAAATATGATTGTTACTGAGGTACTGCCCTAAGCCTGCTAACTTCTCGGGGGGCTGTTTTTGTTTGCAGTCAGCTTTCTTGCAAGAAGCAGGACAAAAGCCATGTGAAATTCCCACCACGCAGTTGGAGCAACTGCTTAGGAAAGCTGTAGTAACAGTACTCCAGCCAGGAGAGTCACAATAAGGAAAAACAAGAAAGGTGCAGACTTGGTTAGCCATACAAGCAGCTTTTCTGTCCTATCCCTTGAAGGACTAGGAGGTTTTCATGTAATGACCAAATGCAGGAGACTCATCCAGCTCAGAGTAGTTAAAGTATTTCAAATGAGGCAGGATAAATTCTCCTAATTCTCAAGCTGAGACACCTACCAACCAGATGCTGCCATGAAAGATGAACTGCTTGGCCACAGTGCCAGGGCAGCCCTTCAGAGGGCAATCCCGAACATTTTCCTTTTTCATCACAGCACGTAGTTGGACATCAAATTTTTGCCTTTCGTACATGCTCCTGCAGATTTCACAGGTATTTGGTAAGTTTGCAAGCCCTGCCTTCCAAGGCTTTATTCAGCTTCCAATTCTTGCAAAAATATTACTGAACAGCTTAATAACACGAGGTTGAAGTCATCTAAAAATACTTGAAAGTACAGTCCCTGTGTTCGTGGTAACTCACGTTATTCCAGGATTAAAGCTGCAAAAGAAGCCTTACCACACAGCAGGTGGGATGCATGCTAACTGCAGTGAGTAATGCAGTGAATGAACTCACCAGTCCCATCTATTTAAAAAGGGAGCTTTCTTCCTAGGATTTCACCTGGCCAAGCATTACAACTAACAAAGAAAAATTGAAGCTTTTCAAAGGATGCACATAAGCAAGCAACATCATTGCACAAATAGGCTGCTGTATTGCTTTGGTACACAGAGCTCTGACCAGGTAGGTGTTAAAAGCAAGACTAAACTCTGCATTCATATTTGCTGCAGAATCGGAATTTAAGCATGGCAGAAACCACTGCCTCTTTAAGTGGTAAACAGCAGGCATAAGAGTAACAAGGTTTCTTTCTCTGGCATGGTTACTGTGAAATCTAACTCTACAAATCCTTAGTGAGAGAAAAGAAAGGCAATGCACAAGTGCATAAAACACAGAACTTGTGTCATACACAGGACAGATTCCATAATTTTTTGTATTTGTTTAAATAAGCTTCACTGAAACAAACAAACAAACCTTAGTGTCTATTAGCAATTCAGTATTTGCGGTTGCAACACACTAAACCACCAGTTAAACATAAATATTTCAAACAAACAATATCATACTGTACTTCTCTGGCAGAAATTAGAAATAAATAAATAAATTTCAACTTAGCCTGGAAAAAAGAAAGCTTCCTTCTCTAACATAATACCAAAACCCACAAAGTCAGCTAAAAATGATACATTTACCCATTGAAGCAAAAGACTGATTTTCCTGGAACAAAATAATTTTGTGAGACTGAACAAAGTGAATACTATGACCAGGGTTTTCTTCTCAGGTTTTTCCTTGTACGATAACAAATGTTACTAGAAGAATACAATTAACCAAATACTTTCTCAAAGAGCACCAAGGAAAGGAAATCCAACAGCTCTAAAGCTGCTGTTTACTGAGACCAATACAGATGCATGTCTTTTCCAACAACTCCTAACATTTTTGCTCACTTAGTGTAGGCCCAGTCAAACTACCTTTAGGAGGTTCCTGAGCTAACTCTGGCTCTGGCGTGCCCTCTACAGTCGGCTGCTCAGTCATGATTTCCATGTTAGGCGGCGCTGTCATCATTTGGTGGAATGGAAACGTGTAAAAAGCTTGAGCTTGCTGAAGGTACGCGTAATATCTTTAAAAAGGAGAAAAAAAAAGACATAACTCATCAACAGTTTAGAAATTTAGTGATACAACTGCTCTACTAGCAAGGCAGTACATTATGCAAATGCATTAAGCAGCCCAGCTGCTTAGCAGATAGGAGGTGACACTGCACCCAACGTTAACAGTCCAGCTCTCCGAAAGCACAGAGATTTCCCATAACACTGGCAAACAGCAGCGTGCAGCACACATTAACCAGCCCCACTGTCTACCAAACAACTCTCAACAGAATGGAGTTGAAACTCTTTGGCCTTCTAAAAGTTTCCCAACTTTTTGATTTCTTAATGCTACATCAGTTACTTTATCTGATGTGACAACGAATGGATGGATGAGTCATTTCGGGCTACGGAAAATTACACGTACACAAATCATCAGTTACAGTGCAGATTATTAAAGAGCTTTAACAATGAGCGTGGCAGATGCTGTCCAGTTATCCCACACTGGACCCTAACACAAATATTGCTTGTATTCGATGCTCACACACGGATTCGATCTCCATCTATGCACACAGACATCCTGCTATTTACAGCTTTTTGTGCTACATATTTGTTAGATACATACAAAGCCCTCTCACCCCCAAATAAATTCTGCTTCATACTGTCATTCCCTTGTGCCTACGTAGCCGCTTTGCCTGTGAATTACACGGCAACACAAACACATTGAGCAGATGGCACGAACAGTAAATTTTCTGGAAATATTTTTATGAAAGTTATTCAATAAAAACATCGAATACTTTTTAGGTGTAGAGAAATAACTCAAAGGCCGCCCTTGCGATGTGAAGGGGTCATCCTCTGTTGCGCAGTGGATATTTAATAATCTTTAATAACCCCTTTGTCAGTCAGATTTAGGCCGGGGCAGCCCACAGGTGTGCCATCAGGCCACTAACTGTGACCCAAGCACCTGGGGTCATCAGGGAGAATAAATCTGAACTTTGGCCCCCAGGTTTCTGGGGGGCTGCCTAGCAAAGTGGCAGGGGATGTTCTGGGCACAATGCAGCCCTCAGCAGCCGGCACGGCTGCATTTTATGTAAAATACTGATGCGGTTACTGAACCCAACAAGACAATTTCCAGGTTTACATAGGGAAGTGCAGCCGAGAGACGAAGAGCCTGGTTCATAGCGGCCTAAGTGCCTAAATCCAGAGCAGAGCAGCAACAGAGACGCGAAGGCGTCTAAGCCACGGGCGGCCTCTGCCAAGATGTCTCCTTGTCACGCACGTCTCATTACCGGGTACATTAACGAAATCCCCTTCCCGTGAAGGAATTGCCACTACAGGCAAGCTCCCTTTTAACCGCGAGGCCTCACAGGGGATGGCAGCCGGGCTGACGAGATGAAAGCCTCCCCCCCACCCCTGCCGGGAGCCCTGCGCAGCGCTCCCGGGGACCCCCGGCGCTTTGTTCTCGGTGCCCGTCCGAAAAAACAAACGTCCCCTCCCGGGAAGGGAAGGGAAGGGAAGGGAAGGGAAGGGAAGGGAAGGGAAGGGAAGGGAAGGGAAGGGAAGGGAAGGGAAGGGAAGGGAAGGGAAGGGAAGGGAAGGGAAGGGAAGGGAAGGGAAGGGAAGGGAAGGGAAGGCCGCCGCTACCTTCCCAGCTCCTCAGCCTCCCCGCCCGGCCCCGGAGCGCCGCCGGCGGCCATGGGGCTTTTGTCCGCGCCGGCCGCCCCCTGCCCGCCGCCCCCTGCCCGCCGCCCGCTCGCCGCCCGCCCGACCTGGAAGCGGTCTCGGAGCCCGGTTCCGCGACGGCCCCGTCCCCCTGACGCGCATCCTGCTCCTCCCCTGCTCTCTCTCCTCTCCTTTCCTCTCCCCGCCCCGCCGCCATGCCCGCCGGCGTGCCCTGGCCCACCTACCTGAAGACGCTGGCGGCCAGCCTGCTGGCCATGCTGGCGGGGGCCGAGGTGGTGCACAGGTACTACGGGCCCGACCTCGTGAGTGCTGCGGGGGGTATAGGGGCAGGGGGCGGCCGGGCTGGGGGTGGGACAGTTCGGGCTCTTCGAGGCCTGGGAACTCGCAGCCGTGTCAAAATAGAAGCGGCAACAAAATACAAGCCCCGCTCCTCAGGGAGAAGTGAAAGGACACGCGGGGTTTGTGTATCTGAACTTTATTAGAGGTAAATATTCAGAGTGATCTGCATCCCTTTAGACTAGATGTTTTGCTTGTAAAAATTATACTCTGCTCAAAAATGAGGGAGACGTAATGACAATATGGATATAATGCCACCTCTTACAGATATGTTAATGTACTGTTTCTGTGAGTTTATTTATTTATTTATTTATTTTTGGTACAGCACTGATGTCTTTCTGTTTTTAACAGAGTATACCCGAAATACCTCCTAAGCCTGGAGAGCTGAGAACAGAACTATTGGGTGTGAAAGCGAGATCGAGCAAAGCTGAAACATCCCAGCACTGACCACACTTTACTTATGTTATGAGAACTGGGACTGATAAAAGCGTTTGTTCAACTATCTCAACTGCAGCAACCCACATGAAATGTTCTTTATGCTTTTTTGTTTCACCAAAGTAGAATTTACAGGCAGCACATCTTGTAAATAAATGCGTGATGAATACTGTCAAAAATCCAATCAGTTGTTTACCAAAGAGCGTATGATTTTATTTTAGTCTTGATTTGCAGTGTAAATATCCTCCAAAATAAAAGGTGTGAACTCACATTGACCATGTCTGTTGGAGTTTGAAGCTTTTCAGATGATGCCCTCATTTTGGTACAGGTAATTTTCTTCATATATGTTTACATAATGTTACATTCCGGATTTTTGAATAAAATAGCAACAATAACACGGATGTTTAAGTAGCTGCAGCAGTGCCTGCCCAGAGGCAAGATCTTTTCAGTTTCTCATGCTGCCCTGCCAGTGAGGAGGCTGGGGACGTACCCAGAGCTGGGAGGAGACCCAAAGGACAGCCCGTGCCCTGTGATGTACTCAAATTTAAAACTGGACAGTAAAAAAATGTGTGAACAGTGATGGCCTTTGTCTTCCCAGGAAGCTGTTGTGCCAAAGCTCTGCTTTCCTGTGAATGGCTGACATCTGCCTGCTGAGGGGAAGCAGCAACTGAATGCCTTGCTTGGGGGCATAGCTTTTACTTGGCCTACCCACCTATCTTTGTCTCAACCCCTGAGTTTCCTAAGCTGTACCTCTCCCATTCTCTCCCCCCTCCCATGGGGCCAATGAGGTAACTGCTGTCTGGTGCCTAGCTGCCTGCTAGGGTTAAACCACAACAGCTGATGAACAAGCATAGGAAGCTAGAGAAGCATGTAAAAACATTAAAAAAAAATCAACAAACTTTTATTGACACTCATTAGCTTTATGAGTGTCTGTTCTATCTGTACTAGAACCCCCATTGACTGTTGGCACTTACCCTCTTCTTATACTGTAACACGAGTTTTGTTTTATATAATACAGAACCTAGTGCAGCAAATTATGGCATGAACAAATAAAGACTCCTTACTGCAGCTCTTCTTGTACAGGACTAATGCTGGTTAACTACTGTTACAGCAGTTACACTGGGTTTATCTGTATTACTGATGGGAAATCTATTTGATTCTATTAATTAAAATGGAGCAAATATGTGCAGATAACAGCAAAACTGTTTGTCCTCGATGTAGGCATCTTCTGTTCAGGTATTATTAAGTGCAGGTTTACCTTTCAGGCCTCAGGCTCCCCACAACGTTCTTGCACAAGAACTCAAGAAGATACACACTGAGCTGGCATGATGAGGATGGCGTGCCAACCCCTTTTTGCAGAGTCTGCAGCAGAGCATGTGAATGCTAGGAATTGCTTTCCCTTGACAAAGGCACCCAGATTAGGCACAGGCTTCAACCTCAAATCTCACTCCCATTGGGCTTGGGAAGAGAAAACATGGGGTGGCAGATGATTCATATAAGGAAACAAAAAGTTCCTAATTGCTACTGGCAGCATACGTGGAGTTCTTGTAATAACACAGGTGTCTAGAAATGATTGCACAATACTTTTACATCTACTTCAGCTGTGAAGTTGGTATTTTATACCTGCCTAAGTTGGAACTGGTTTTCCTAGGGAAAAGGTTGTAGCCCCTTTGCATGTCTACAGGCCTCCCCTTTCACAGAATCACACAGAATCACAGAATTTCTAGGTTGGAAGAGACCTCAAGATCATCGAGTCCAACCTCTAACCTAACACTAACAGTCCCCACTAAACCATATCCCTAAGCTCTACATCTAAACGTCTTTTGAAGACTTCCAGGGATGGTGACTCCACCACCTCCCTGGGCAGCCCGTTCCAGTAAAGCTCTTTTCACACAGCTCTTGCAACTATTTGCTGATTGAGAAAAGCAGCTGAGGTGGGATGAGATCATTCCCTGCTCTCCTGCCCCCATGGATATTTAGGCTGCAGCCTGGGCTTAGTATTGCTAAATCAGAGACCACCTCAATGACCCCTCCACCAGCAACAACAGTAAAAGACTTCATTTGGGCACAAAACGTGAAATTTAAACAATCTAGCAGAAGACATCTAACTAGGCTCAGTGCTGGTGACAATTTGTGCTTTGCTGCACCTATCAGTGGTTAGATTGATAAACTGTACACCTCAACAGCTTTGAGAGCCAGGTAACAGCTTGGTGAATGTAGATGAGACACTTCGGCACTATTTTGTTCTTATTCTAAGTAAGGATAACTGAAACCCACTGTGGTTTCTCTTTAAAGGGACAGCATTCACCAACCCTTACCTGATTCACTTACAGTTTATCAGACTGTCATTTTGCTGCTGACTGACTTCAAATCTAAAGGCTGCAGCAAATTTAATCACAAATTCAGCTTCGTTTTTCCAAATGCATCCTACTTGTAGTGGAAACTGAGCAACAAGGAGCATGGTTTAGCACTGGGGGAACCACTCATGAGTGCCCACCTAGTGGCAGCAAAGCCACCACTGTGCCTGGTTTAAATAGCAGTTACTGCCCTGAATCAGAACAACTACAGGAGTGAAAAAAACAACTCAGTGTGACTGCAAGACCCTTCTTCCAGCAGCGACACTGTTTCAGATTTGACAAAAAGCTACAGCTGCATGTTTGTGCCTATTAATAGCAAACACTTGTCACTCCAGGGTAAATAAAGCAGCTGGACCACAGCCCTGCTGCACATGATAGCCTCAGCTGAGGAAGATGAAGAAGCACAAAGCATGACTCCAAAGTGTGCTCTTTATTTTTGACACTGAAGCAGACAGGGCATCCTGTAACCAATCAATGCCTTCAGAACTCCAGCCATGGAACAGAGCAAAAGGTGGTTTAAAGTCTGTAAGGAATAAACAGAAAAGGATTGCACAGGAAACAAGCCTACACCCTCCAGTAACATTCCTACCAGGTTTCTGAGCTGCAAAACCAGACAGTGGGCCTAAGCCACGCCTGCTACTCAGGCTGGTCAAGCATAGGTAAGACGGGCATGCGTACTTTTAATGCATTAAAGGATTTACTTCATATTTCAAGCTTTATATAGTGAACCTGGAACACTGCAAGTTAAGGAAATATTAAATGAAAACCTTAGTAGTAGTTAATTGCTACAAAACACATGCCTTAAAAATGGTGCTTTTGCCCTATTCAAGAACTTACTAACAAAGGACTGCTGCTATTACAGCTGATACTGCTACCTGCTAAACAACTCAAGAGTTGGACCACTCCTAACTCAACTTTCTGTATTAAAGATGCTTCAGCAGTGAACCCCTACCCCAATTAAGCTCCTTTTCCAGGCAGTCTTAAACAGCATACTTTAATAAACTCTACACCCACAAATAAACCCTAATTAAGTATTTGGGCAACACAGGCTAGTAAAAGTAAACAGGAACACAAGCTTTTCACCTCTGTGTTTATGTGTCTTCACCTAATTATAGGTGATTTCACCTAAGATCATAAGATTTGAAGTCTACTCTTTTGCCTGCCTAGTTAACAAGAGTGGTTCTCAAATAGGAACAGTACTTAGACAACAACTCTATGTACTTTCACAGAAGGCAAATGAAGAATCAATGTAAACCTTTCCTGCCAACTCTGTGAAAATTTGTTTCAGAAGTAGAGGCACTAGTGAGAAAACAGTGCTTCATGCAACCACAAAACTAATGCAGGAAGTAGAAGAGACAGTGGTGTGTCCAACTTCTCTACATTACACAGTATTCCATTTGGTATCAACAGATGCGGCTTGAATTAGCTTAAGTAGGTACAGTGATTTGTCACAGTACGGACACAGAACAAGAGCTAAAAAGTTCAGAAATAACAGCATTAAAGAGGAACTGTAACAGCAAAGAGCTTCCACATGAAAAAAATGGAGAAAGGACTACTGCAGCTGTTGGGAAAGCTACCTGAGTTAAAGGCAGGGTTAAAGACAGTGGAGGATGAGGATAGGCTCCCAGAGAGTAAATTGCTTCCAGCTATTCTTCAACCTTTTAATGAAAGGACAAGCTTTTGCTCATCTCAGCTGCAATAGCTACCACTGCCTGTTCTGTAAAGTGCAATAAAGTCACATCCAGTGCCCCTGTATTTTAAGCATATTTCAGAAAGCCTGCTACAAACCCAATTTTTTTTTTTAAACATTGCCTTTCCACTCAAGCCAGCAGGACTTTCAATTCCAACACTTATTTTTTAAATGCCCTCTCATCTTTAAGATGTCAGTACTATATAATTTCCTGAATACTTATTCCACACAAAGAAGTTTCAGTAGAACCCTTAGATGCCAGGTATACTCGGGATTGAAGAGCACAGCACATCTGTTAACACAAAATCCAGCCTTAAGCATATGTTTTTGACTGTGCGGCTGTACCAGTGTGGAACAACCTCAGGACAGCAAATTCCCTGTTGGACAAAGGACCTGAACACTCAAGACAACCCCTTTAATTCTTTAAGATGAGCTGAGCTTACTGTGTAAAATTTAGAGTTACTGGTGTTTGGGAACATTTTATTTTGTACATGACAAGATTTTACACCAAGTCAGTTAAATAATACAAATTTACATTCATGAGGAATGTTTTAGAAAAGTCAACTTAAAAAAAATCTCCTCTGCCCTTAACCCCCACACCATCCCTCAACCTTTTACAGTGGAAAAAAACAAAACCTAATTCACATCCCTTCCTAGCCCCCCAATGCAGGATGGTAGGCAAGTGCAGTTTACAGTTCATCTTTCACATCTGTGGATTCCTGTGGAGACAAACAAGAGAATCAGAACATTGCTTTTTCAAAGTGCAAAAGGTTACAAAAGCTGTTTCAGATGAACTGAAAGACTGCTGATACTTCCCAAAGCACTAACAGAAGTGATATAACTTTTGAAGAGACATTAAAAAAAACAAAACTTCAGTCCACCCAGATTTAGTTTACCATTTTTAATACTTTAAGTTACCTTTCAGGCATAGTATTAGTACTGTTAACATCCCATAACTCTGCTTACTTATTTACTGCTATCACTGCACGTTATACTACTCTGTAAATGCAGTACTGATAGCATCAAAACTAATACAATTACCTACAGTTCTGTGTATTATTAAGTAATCTGACAGATAATAGTAGGCAAACATCTCTATAAGCTTTGTATTTTTATTAGTCTCAAGATGTACTGTTACAGGACTCTTCCAAAAGCAGCCTAAGCAAGCAGGTCCAGTCAGGACTTCACAGTAACTTAAAAGTTTAAGATCACTGAGAAACCACATTACTTGATGGCCAATTTGTTGAGACTACTGCCCACAAGCTGCAGAAAGTGAGAAGGTAACAGGAAGCTCATGGTAGGGGATTAACTACTACTTTTTGCCACAGGGCACTCATTACAATATCTTTAGCTTAATTTAGCTCCAAACCCTGAATACACCTGTTTTTTTCTTCTTATAAAGAAGCTTGATACAGAATAAAGATTTGTGCAGGTTTTTTTCCCCCTCTAAGAAAAGCTTGGAAAACCCCTTACACTGACAGCTATGGTCACAGAATGCTAAGTGAAGAAATCTGTTGTCAGGAAGCACCAGGTAAAGCTGCACATAGATATATGAAAATGAAGAATAATCAAACTTGAGATCTTACCTTCTGTGTTTCACTGTCTTCAGCATCAGCATCCACCTCTTCTTCTTCTTGCTCTGCCTCCTCAGCTGCATCTTCAGGCTCTTCAGGTTCTTCCTCCACCTGTGGGAAGGTCATAAACACCTCACTATGCATTCAAATCTTTATTTGCTTACAATGTTCGCTAGTTACAGACTAGCTAAATACAGGCTTTGGTACTATCAGTTCATAACATGTGCTCCAAGTTACTAGAAGGAGAAACTGGATTCTCTTTTGCACTAATACATTATCGTATTTCCCCTGGCAGAATACCAGCCTAAGTTCTTGCACAGCATCAAGGGAAGACCTATACCCAACTTAAGAATTTCTCCATTTGTGAAGTGGGCACATGCATCTGTCTAGCCCCTAATTTACTCCCACAGAACCACCACTTAAAGACAGCAATACTTGAAAAGAGCATAATGGAAGAGCAGAATCCCATTCAACTGCAAAGAGCAGTGGCAGTGGAAGAGGATACAAGCACAAAAGGCTCATCAGCTCATCACTTTCCCAGACAGAAACTTGGATCAAGCTCCTGACACCACTTCAGTATAGGAAACTAGGTACATACGCAAATCTACACCACTGCAGTTACATCTTAATAGATTTAAATATCTGCTTCTTCATCAGTTACAAGTTGTTGGCAACTAACCTTTGCATCCAGGTCAATGTTTAAACTCAAACGAAGCATCCTTTCTATTCTGTCTCCATATTCTTTGGTGTCTGGTAACATATATCCTGATCTCAAAGTTGCAGTTTCAAACAGTACCACTGCAAGATCTGAAACTGTTTTGTCATCTTCATTTTCCTAATATGGAAGCACAAAAAAACCACAAACACAGCTGTTAATTAGGCTGCACTGACAGCTTTGCAGTCAGCATTTCACTACTGTTACTTATTTACCTTGACTCGCCTCAGCATGTCTTTGATCAGTGGATGCCTGGGGTTTATTTCAAATGTCTTCTTTTGGCTAGCATAGTAACTGGAAAGAATAGAAGAAACAGAAATAGTCACATCACTAAGTTTTGAAGAATGGGACCCAGGTACCCCTTTAAACTCAAGAACACTGACTAACATTGTTACCCCCCATATCCCTGCTTCAGTATTAGTGATCCTCTAAAAATACTAGTTATTGTGATAGTTCATCTTATGTCACCAAGTGACAGATGCAAATACTACTGACAAGTATTGAGAAGTATTGCTCAGTAAGCAGAGTTTTACCTAACAGGCTTTGAAACAGTGACTATTATAGAGGTTGCAACTTATTTAGAAGTGACCTTAAATTATGGAGGATCATTTGAACCACATGGAAGCTTCTTGTGCCCACACCAACCAAGGTTTATCAACTGCATTTCACATCTACTGCTATCTGAAAGCTTACTTTGTAGATATGTCCTTCCCAGTTTGGTAAGCTTGAGCCTTCATGATTCTTTCCATGTTACCAGACCATCCATACTGACTAGCCACAAGTGCACACGGAGACTGGGTTAAACGTTGAGAGAGCACAGCTTTTTCAATCTGTAGAGAAAAGCCTTGATATTAGTTCAAGGAACAACTCTTCAAGGGAATTAAAGATCTCAGATCTGCTACCACATGGCCACTTCAGTATTTTATGAAAGCTCTAAGGTGACATTCTAAATCACTGCCTTCCTGAAGTAAAGGTGTTAAAACATTTCTTTATCCAGAGAAGAACAGACCAAGATGTTATGGTCAGCTCCACATCCCCAGAATTTGCAAGGCTTTGTATGAACCAGAGTAGCATATACAAACAAGCACGAAGTATTTCTAACCTTGTCCTTCAGAGCTTTGTCTTTCATCCAGTTCAAGAGTGGTTCAAATTCCTTTTCCAAGGCTTCTCGACTCTCCTTAGATTTTTCACTTTCTTCAAACTTAACGCCTTCTTTTGCTACGTTCTGAAACCTCTTGCCATCAAATTCTGGCAGAGCTTGAATACAGTATTCATCTACAGGTTCAGTCAGGTAGATCACTTCGTAGCCCTTTTTCAGAAGACGTTCAACAAACGGTGAGGACTCAGCCTATAATGAGGACAGACCAAGATACCAGTTTAACACCAATACCAGCAGCTACTGAAAATTGTACTGCTATTTTACAAATGTTAACACAAGGAAAACTGAACTGTAGTAACATGACCATGGCTACACCATGCTTTACAGCAAGTACAGGCAGTTCATGATGTTTATTGTACCATAAAACTATAGCAGTAATATTTTTTCCTTCCCTGCTCACTTACCTCCTTTCTGCTGGCACCTGCCATGAAATATATTTTGTCTTGTTTTTCTTTCATTCTTTCCACATACTGGTCAAGACTTGTAAGGTTACTTTCATGATGAGAGGACTGGAAGCGAAGAAGTTTAGCCAGTCGTGTACGATTGGAGTGATCCTCAATAACTCCAAGCTTGACATTAGTACCAAACTCTTTCCAGAAGGTGTCATTGTATTTTTCCTCTGCAATTTTCTTGATCATATCAAGAGTTTTACGAACGAGTTTCTTTCTGATCACCTAGAAAAAGCAGTAATACAGAGTTACAGCAATGTGCAATTGAAAGATCCCTCAATTCAGCCTCACTGTAAAGAATGGGATCAGGACACTCAAGCGTTCTGACTTAAACAAAAGTGTTCTGAAAACAGCAATGCTTGGTTGCCAATACTTAACTGTTTTAAATATTGTTAGGGGTGTGAAAGTAAAATCAATATGATTTAGATGATAAATGTCTTAACTTACTCATTTTCAATGTGCCCCCAATTAAAAACTTAGGGCCAACTATCTTACCTTTAACAATTTATGCTGCTGAAGTGTTTCACGAGATACATTCAAAGGAAGATCATCAGAATCCACCTAATTGAAGAAGGAATTTTGTAAGTATAGCTAGCAGCATTTGCTAACATAAATGAAGTCTTACTTACTTTTTTTTTTTTTTAATACTTACAACACCTTTAACGAAGTTAAGATATTTGGGCATCATGTCATGGAAGTCATCAGTGATGAACACTCTTCGAACATACAGCTGAATTACAGAAAGAACAATGATCAGGTTATGGATTATTGTTTTTTAAACAGAAAACCATAGCAATAGTCACTTGCTTGTCTTACCTTAATGAAATCGCTTTTTTTAGATCCGTATTCATCAAACAAGCCACGTGGAGCAGAATTAGGAACAAACAAGATCGATTTGAAAGTGACTTCCCCTTCAGCAGTAAAGTGGATGTAAGCCATTGGATCATCATGTTCCTGTGAAGTGAAATTTCATTTAAGTCTATGTTGGCAAAGTATTGGCAAGTCAGTTCTTCTATTTATAAGACGAATTTGCAAGTTATTACATAATTAAGCTACCTAACCATGATTTAAAGAACCAAAACTTCCAGATTCTACTGAGTTACTTGCACAGAAGTTATCTTCTAAGAACTACTAGATGCTTCCCTTTTTTAAAGCAAACCAAGGCGATGCCAAGACCACAGTAAGATATTCTTAAGTCATGTTAAGACTGTCTTTACTTGTAAATAAGGCTTTGTAGAAACACACTGTTTCCTCCTATCATGTACAACACAAACATAGACACTCTTAAACTACATTAAAATTTCCCTGTCAGTTTTTAAAATTTCTCTCTGGAGAAGAGAACAGCTCCTAGCTGAACGCTACACCTCACAGAAATCTTTCAGTTCAGTCCTCTTCCTGGCAGCAAATCATTCTTAAGAACAAAGCACTCAGTGTTGTTTACACAACAACAACAAAAAAATAAAATACTACAGCAAACCTACTGCTTCAGAAAAATTTTGAAGCTTACAGCTTACCTTGGAAAAGGTTTTGTAAAAAGCTTTGTATTCATCTTCTTCAACTTCTTTAGATGGTCTCTGCCAGATTGGTTTTATGTCATTCATGAGCTCCCAATCCCAGACAGTCTTTTCAACCTAGGTATGTAAACACAAGAATAAAGATGCATACTTTAATTCAGGTTTTGAGTCCATTACAGAATCTCCACTGAGGATAAAGTCCTAAAACAGCATTAGAAAAATACGTATTTCTAATCAACAAACTAAATTAGAGAGTGGCCTGGATAATGTCAAAAAATGTATGTATTAGCAATAAGCACATGGCAACAGAATGCAAGTCCACACTTCAGTGTACCCTGTGCACATTTCACATTCACTCAAGTGTCGTGATTACTCTTCCTCTGCAACTCTGAAAAAGACAGCCCAGCAAAGACTATGTTCAATTTAAACAACTCAGTTTCTGTTTATTTAATCCAGTACCACTTTGAGAAGCTCACTGTATAAACCTTAAGTCTGTAAGCCGGCGGGCTCCCTGCCTGTAGTAAGCCGGCGGGCTCCCTGCCTGTAGTAAGCCGGCGGGCTCCCTGCCTGTAGTAAGCCGGCGGGCTCCCTGCCTGTAGTAAGCCGGCGGGCTCCCTGCCTGTAGTAAGCCGGCGGGCTCCCTGCCTGTAGTAAGCCGGCGGGCTCCCTGCCTGTAGTAAGCCGGCGGGCTCCCTGCCTGTAGTAAGCCGGCGGGCTCCCTGCCTGTAGTAAGCCGGCGGGCTCCCTGCCTGTAGTAAGCCGGCGGGCTCCCTGCCTGTAGTAAGCCGGCGGGCTCCCTGCCTGTAGTAAGCCGGCGGGCTCCCTGCCTGTAGTAAGCCGGCGGGCTCCCTGCCTGTAGTAAGCCGGCGGGCTCCCTGCCTGTAGTGTAGTAAGCCGGCGGGCTCCCTGCCTGTAGTAAGCCGGCGGGCTCCCTGCCTGTAGTAAGCCGGCGGGCTCCCTGCCTGTAGTAAGCCGGCGGGCTCCCTGCCTGTAGTAAGCCGGCGGGCTCCCTGCCTGTAGTAAGCCGGCGGGCTCCCTGCCTGTAGTAAGCCGGCGGGCTCCCTGCCTGTAGTAAGCCGGCGGGCTCCCTGCCTGTAGTAAGCCGGCGGGCTCCCTGCCTGTAGTAAGCCGGCGGGCTCCCTGCCTGTAGTAAGCCGGCGGGCTCCCTGCCTGTAGTAAGCCGGCGGGCTCCCTGCCTGTAGTAAGCCGGCGGGCTCCCTGCCTGTAGTAAGCCGGCGGGCTCCCTGCCTGTAGTAAGCCGGCGGGCTCCCTGCCTGTAGTAAGCCGGCGGGCTCCCTGCCTGTAGTAAGCCGGCGGGCTCCCTGCCTGTAGTAAGCCGGCGGGCTCCCTGCCTGTAGTAAGCCGGCGGGCTCCCTGCCTGTAGTAAGCCGGCGGGCTCCCTGCCTGTAGTAAGCCGGCGGGCTCCCTGCCTGTAGTAAGCCGGCGGGCTCCCTGCCTGTAGTAAGCCGGCGGGCTCCCTGCCTGTAGTAAGCCGGCGGGCTCCCTGCCTGTAGTAAGCCGGCGGGCTCCCTGCCTGTAGTAAGCCGGCGGGCTCCCTGCCTGTAGTAAGCCGGCGGGCTCCCTGCCTGTAGTAAGCCGGCGGGCTCCCTGCCTGTAGTAAGCCGGCGGGCTCCCTGCCTGTAGTAAGCCGGCGGGCTCCCTGCCTGTAGTAAGCCGGCGGGCTCCCTGCCTGTAGTAAGCCGGCGGGCTCCCTGCCTGTAGTAAGCCGGCGGGCTCCCTGCCTGTAGTAAGCCGGCGGGCTCCCTGCCTGTAGTAAGCCGGCGGGCTCCCTGCCTGTAGTAAGCCGGCGGGCTCCCTGCCTGTAGTAAGCCGGCGGGCTCCCTGCCTGTAGTAAGCCGGCGGGCAGATATTCACCTTATTTCTACCACATGTTATTTACCATCTTACAAGGTAAGACCAACTACAGCTGGGTGGGACTGTTTGAAAACACTCCTCTGGAAGACTATGAAAACTGCTGAAGTATCTAACACAACTTAGAAGACCTCATGTAGTCTGAAAGAGCTTACCTTCTTTGTTTTTGGTTTCTTCTCCTCCTCTTCTTCTTCCACTGCAGCTTCATCATCATCTGTTTCTTCTTTCTCTTTTGCTTCCTCTTCTTCTACAGGTTCTTCAACAGTCTCTGTCTATGTAGACATTTCAAAGTGGTGTTTAGACTACTTACTAGAAGTACCTGCCAAGAAACTATTCTCTCAAGTGGCCTCAATCACCCAAGTTAAAGCAGTGCTAAGAGACTGATTGCCTGTTGCAACCATTTCCCCACAGACATGTTTTTTCAGTCACATTTTTCATGACCACATGCTACCCTGGTACACTGTACTTAAATTTTAAGTTCTTCATAGCTTTACAGTTCATCTTTACCAAAACACCAACTTTAATCAGACTGGGTGATGTCAAGTTAGTGCTACACCAAGAAAAACACTGCAAGAACAATCCTTAAAGTTAAAATGCTGCCCAATATTTAGAATGCCTAACCATGCTTGAGAGCTTATCAAAGCTTCCAGATTATCAATTGAAGCATGTGAAATAAAGATTCCTTCTTAGTATTTTGCAGTTTTGCTTCTTTGGGTAAAAAAGTTGAGTTAATACAACCAAGTTCCTTCAAAGTTTGTGGTTTTAGTACAAGTTCGTGCCTTTAGTAGTAAGTAACTAGCAAAATACCAGCCAGTTCTTCCTTTCCACTGAATCTGAGTAGCCAAAACCAGTAAAAATTTAGAGTTTTTACTAGTTTAACTTTCTATACTATGCCCTCCTTCTTGAAATATCTGGCCCTTGAAAGACCATGAGCTATGAAACACAGCTCAGTGTACAATGCTCTGTTAAATGCACTTACCTTGCTGCTCCACACATATATGGGGAAGTTAATGAACTGTGAGTATTTCTTGACAAGGTTTTTAACAGTATCCAACTCAAGATAATCAGATGCTTCTTCCTTCAAGACAAGGCTAGAAGAAAATACACGAGTAAGAGTGTTGGACTAGTAGTTTAAAGTAGTCTTACTAGAGGAGATTCATCTTTCCACTATTGCAGCTCTAGTGACCCAAAATTATTCAACTGCAGCTCAACTAGCAAATATCAAGTTATTCCTTCAAAAACTGAATCTCTATTAAGACTACTTCAATCAGATGGAATCACTTTTTTTAAACAATTGGGGGCATAATACAACATCTGTAAATCAAAACAAAGACCTCAAATTAACAGTGATCAGGACCTTGATGTGTTCTGACTTCATTTGGACCCAGAGGACCAAGACAAACGTTTTCCTTCCAACGAGTATCATTGGCATGCCAATGCCCTACCTTTCAGTAGGAAGAAGTCCTGAAAATGACTGAAGGGCTCCTCTAAGCCCAGAGGAAAGAAACTTATGTGCACATGAAAGTGGAAAAAAAAAATAGGGCTGTCAAACTACATCTAACTTCAAAGTCGCATCAGACCAGTCTGACTGGTGTATTAACAGTCACCTGTTTCTAAGAGAAGGCTCTACAACCCTGTAGACATTTTGTTGTACCACAACTGCATTAAGAAACTGAATGAATCTACAGGCTGCTGAAGTCTGAAATTGCTTGCAAACAGTTAGTTGGCAGTAAGCTCATTGATTTTTTTCCATTCATCTAACAGAATAAAGAACTGTATTGCTACATTACCAGTCCACATTGTGCATGCAGTTAATAGTTTGGATGTTTCTATTCAACTGAAGACATCCATACTCCAAGAATCAAATGCTACATGTAGTCACAATGCCAAAGTCATACACATATTCCAGTGAGAAAGATTTATCTATAAAACGTTTATTTTTTCCAAGGAAACTTAATACTTACGTTATGGTTGTGCCACGTCCTAAAGTGTTTCCTCTTGGGTCATCAATCACAGAGAATTCATTTGAGTCTGATTCCCAAATGTGCTGGGTATCATTGTTGTGTTTTGATGTGACAATAACTCTGTCTGCTACTAAGAAGGCAGAATAAAAGCCAACACCAAACTGGCCAATTAACTCAGATGTTGACTGGCTATCATCCTGCATTTCAGTCATCTTATTTAAGAATTCACTTGTACCAGACTTTGCAATGGTACCCAGGTTTTTAATCAACTCCTCTTTTGTCATGCCGATACCCGTATCTGTAACGTGAAGCATGTTCTTCTCTTTGTCACACTAAAAAAGAAAGAAAAAGATTAAGTCTGAGTTTATTTTAAATCTCACTACCTAATACACTAATACCCTAATGATACAGTCTTCTTACATTCCTGCCACTGCTCTTCAGTAAGAGACGATGTAACTGACATTTCTTACCTTGATTTTGACAGTGAGCTCCTCATTACCAGCAAGAGCATTTTCATCAGTCAAGGATATTAACCGTATCTTATCTAAAGCATCCGAAGCATTTGAAATAAGCTCCCTCAGGAAAATCTGAAACAGAATCCAGTTGTCAGCAATTCAAGAACACACACAAACAGTTCTAGCATGTTCTACTGATACAGGTACTAACCTCTTTATTTTTATATAAAGAATTGATGATAAGTTTCATCATCCTGTTAACTTCTGCTTGAAATGCAAACTTCTCAGATTTTTCTCTGATTTCTTTGATCTGGGATGCATTTAGGCCATCTAGCTGGATAGCTTCTTCCTCTCTGTAAGAATAATGAAAAACTGTCAAACAACCCTGCCTACGTACAGTTTCCACGAATTGTCTAGCACCCACAACAACGGTCTAACTAGAGAAACAGTAACTTTAAGCCACTGACACTGACAGCCCAAATGTGGTGACCAAATGAGATCTGTGAGACTTGCTATCGTCAACTGCCTAGCCACAATCTAAAATGCAAGTGAAAGTCCATGATTGCAAGTAAGACTATTTTATTATGAAGTTGATGGAAAAACAGAGGCACATTACAACTGCTGCAATGCTCAATGTGAGGTATACGTCTGAGGATCTGAAGCAGTTCATTGGTGTAGAGCTATTCAACCAGTGGGCACTAACCTGCCACATGCAGTTATGTGCAAGAATAACCCCTATTTATTTATTGTTTTTTGTAGTACTACTGATATTGGACAAAACCAAGTTGAAAACTTCTGAGTCCAAGTCTTCAGGCTCACCTCTCTGTAGTAGGCAACAATGTTTTCATATATTTTATTTTTAGCATCTGACTGGGTTTCTTTTTGCGTGCTACACCCCCACACCCCACGCTCTGCCAGTTAAGCATGCCTGATACCAAAATCGATTTTTTTTGAACGCGAGAGAACCTCCTGATGCTTTACAAGCCGCTTACCCAGCGCCCCCGCCTACTAACCTCTGAACAACTTCATCGTCGGTCCGGGACCCTTCCCTGCTTTTACCCAAGTCATCCTCCACCGTTGCATCCACATCCACCTCCTCAGCGCTAACGGACGCTGGACAGGACGAGACAGGCAGCGAGCTGAGTCCCTGGGAGTGCCCCTACACAAATTATCAGCCCCCCACCCCCAACCCCTTTACCCCCCACATCCTCCCACACCCCCCCCCCACCTCCTGGGGGTGGCAATAACCCCCAGAACCGCACGCAGGCGCCCCCCCACCCCTCATGACCAGGCCTAGGCCCCCCCCCACACACCCCCTCCCCTCATCCTCCGCCGCCGGAATGTTCCAGAAGGCGGCCGCCGTGAGGGGCTGTGCGTGAGGGGGGGGCACTCACCGGCCAGCAGCAGCAGCGCGCAGCTCAGAGCGAGCGCCCAGGCCGACCTCATGGCGACGCGGGCCGCGGTGGCGGAGACAAGCACGGCCCTGCCCTGCCGGCCCCGCCGCCGCTGCCGATGCCGCTGGCGCAGCCGCGTCCCTCCCCCTCCGCCTTATCAACGGCGCCCCCGCCGCAGCGCGAGGGGGGCAGCCGGCGGCCGGCCAATGGCGGCGCCCCACGCCAAACACGCGGCCAATGGCGAGCCGGCGGGGGCGGGGCGCGGGGCGGCGGCGGCCAATCGCGGCTTTCCATGTGCGGTTTCCTGCGGACGGAGCGTGGCCGGCGACGGTTGGCCGGGCGGCGTTGCGGCCGGCCAATCGTTTGCGCGGAAGGGCTCAAGGGGCGGGGCCGGCGGCGGGTTTTCGACCAATCAGGCGTCGATGCTTGGCGCCCCGGCCGCGTGGGGCGCGGCTGCGGCCGGGCAGCGGTGACAGCGGCCCCGCGTGGGCAGCGCGGCCCCGACGGCTTCCGGGGGCACCCGGGATGTTTACCGGGGACACGGTTGCCACGGCAACGGGAGCTTCCGGTCGTGGCGGCGCCGGCGGGCCTCTCCCGGCAGCCCCGAGGGCCTCCTCTTCCGCCTCCTCCTGCTGGCGGGTGCGCGTGCGCGGTGGCGCCGCGCGGCATGCTGGGAGTTGTAGTCCTGAGGGGGGCACAAGGCGCCCCCTGGCGGCGCGGGGTGGGGCGGGGCCGCCATTACGGGGCCGTGAGGGGGGCTTGGGCTGGGCTCGGCTGCCCCTCATGCAGCCCTGAGGGGCGGTGTTCGTGGGGGTCACGAAGCCCTAGAGTCACTTAAAAAACAAAAAACTAAACAAAAACAAAACAAAAACAACCAAACAAAATAAAAACTTGTAAAAGACCTTCGTGATCCTCACATCCAACCACTCAGCCACCACAAACCCACCGCCGACCCGTGTCCCTAAGCACCGCGCCCACACATCCCCTGAACATCCCCAGGGCTGCCAACGCTACCGCCTCACCTCCCTGGCGGCCTCTCCTGATCCCTGACCACATCTTTCTGTGAAAAATTTCCTCCCGATACCCAATTCAAACCTCCCTGGTACAAGAAGCAAGTTGGGATAAAACGAGCTGGGTGCTTGGCAGGTCCCCGTGCTTTCTAGCTTAGTGGTGCTCATCACAACAGCCACCCTCTTATTCTGACTCCTCAGCCTGCCCTTGGGGCCATGGCGTTGAGTGTGCCTGGAAGAAGGACGTCATTGTCAGCTCGAGGCTGAGAGCGATGGCTCCCTTCATGCCCAGGGGTCCCTGCCCGCTGCATGCTGGTGGTGCCCGCCTCAGCTGTCACCACGAGTGGCTGACATGGGGGGACCCACGAGCATGCACGTACCCGGCTCCTGCAGTGACAATGTCAGAGAATTTAATGTAAAAACCTGCCACAGTCTGTGAATTTGAGTAAAAGTAGGCCCCGTGTTCAGAAGGCTGGATATTCCCATCCCTGACAGCTGGCAAAGTGATCAAATCTAATGCACCTGTATTTCTATGTTAATAAGATACTTGAAGTGTCACAGCCTCATTTTGCCTTCCTGAGAAAGTTATTCTGCTGAAATGTCTGTGAGAATGACTAGGAAAATATGTCTAGGAGGGTTCAGTGCCAGGATTATATGTAAAAACCTGCCATGTTTTCATAAAGGCCTATTTGAACTCAGAGAATTACTTTACAAGTACTTAATTGGAAGTACAGTTTTGTCACTCTCAAACAGACAAACTCACTAACAAGCAGTTTCATGATTTGATTTCCTAATAATGTGTATGTTCCTAGAGGGAGATATGTTGCTCAATGACTGAATAGGCATTTAATGTCCATACATATTTGCAGAGTAAACTTATCTCCAACCTGTAGAACTCTTGCCTTAACACGTTTTGTGGCAGTTTCGTTATAGTAGTTATTTTCTTGGCAGTGGGAAAATGTAATGCTTCATCGCAATCTTTTTGAACTTTGGCAGCTGGAGTAGCAGAAACGCAAACCAATTCTGTTGTTGACTATGCTAAACCAACAGAGATTTTAGATTAAGTTTGTTGAAATCCAAATCTTGTTGATTACTTTACTCTTATTATTGTACAATATAGGTTTTTTAAATTTTTTACTTTTTGAAGGAGACATGAAATCTGATAAATCTGTTTCTATGCTTCGAATTTAGAGGTCAAGACTAGCCTTGTTTGCTGCATATAGATTACACTGTTTGCTTTCCTTAAAGCCCAGTTGTATTACGTAGCACAAAAGTGATAGGTAAGAATGAGGCAGCTGCGTACTTATGCTCTCTCAAAGAAAGTTTCACCTCTTTACAAGGAGGTTGGCAATTGAAGAAAATAACTTTGATTGAATATTAAACTTCTAAAAATTGTTTATTGTAGCTACTTTAAAGCTATGAACATATCATCAAGTATTGCTGTGAATGTTTTAAGCAAATCTCAGACTTTCCACTTAGATTTATTTAATTCATTCTTAATTTTTGCTTAAGAAAAATCAAAGGAGTTTTAAAAATCTTAGTTGTGCTGAGATTCAAAAGAAGCATGAATGTCACCTTTCAGCTTTTAATACCAAATAAAAGGTGTAACTGCTAAGACCTAACAGTGCTTCAGGATGAGAACTTAGCTCAATCAAAGGCCCTGTAAAGCAATTCTACACACTCTTGATTGTGTGTATAATGACTGAAAGTGTATTTAAGTGCTGTATTTACTCTTTTGACTAAAAACATGAGGGCATGTGGTGATAAGAGAAACACGGTACGGGTAATGTGTTTTTTTTCCATGCAAACAGTAGAGCAAGCCTCTCTAGTGCTCTGAGTGCAACGTATCAGCTCACCCACCTGTCCTAGGAGAAGCCTGCTCACTGAAGCAAGCCACACAATTCCAGCTGTAAGCTGTAACTAGCAAGAAGTGTTACCTTGCCAGAAATAGCTGTAGAGATAAACTGAGGAGTTCATATGACCCAACTTTGGGTATTTGGTTTAACCAGCTAAATTAGCCAGCTAATCTTCCTTGGCTCCATCTGTAAAAAAGTTCTTCTCTCACTGTACTGGCTCTGGCATATGTCAGACTCATTGCTGAGCTGATTAAATTCTCCATCCCAGCAAAATAGTCTGTAATTAAATCAGCTTATATCAGATCTAGAATGCACCAGATTAGAGCATGGTAAAGAGCAGGAGTTTATGGCTAGGAGAAGGTGATATCCCTCTTTTGATGGTGGTGAGCTGAGACACCACTTTTAGGAGCCTTGTATGTAACTTAACATAGGACAGACGTGTTCATGTGTGCAAGTATAAGGAAACCATAAAAGTAAACACTGAGTTTGCATTGTAAGCATGTTGCCTCTTTCAATACACCGTAAAACTGAAATCTGTAACAGATGCAACCTCCACTTCAGGGACTAAATATTGTACATACAAAACAAACTGAAGACATATCCATGTATTTAAGATGCTATACAGTTTTGGGGACTCAAGCAGAAAGTACTGCTATTAATTAGGTTTTCAAGCTGATTTTTCAGATATTAGAAAATAATAATAGTAACTACATACAGTCAAGATCAAAATACTTCTGTCTATAAACATTGACATCTTTACTAAATGCTTATGCTATGAATTATTCTTATCTGCTGTCTCTTTATCAAGAAATTCTGTTGAGCAAATTATCATGTTCTGACTTCAGCCGCCTTCTGGTTAGGAGAAATACATCTTTTACCTACCACCTACTTAGTCTCAGAACTATTGATCTCCACCAAAGAGGGCTTTCACCCCTGCTCTAGTTTTAAGTGCAGAGAATCCTAACTAACAGGGTAACTCTTTTCTTCCTGTTCAGTGAAAGACTACTCAACCAAATATTCTACATCTTCATATACAAACATCTTAAGGCCCGTTTCTTTGGATCTTTTCAAACCATGAGCTGTAGCGAGCATCTTCCTTACCCTGGAGGTTGAATTGAAAGGGGAACACTTGTCCTGGTAAAACTAACACTGTATGTGTCCATGACGCCAAAAAATGCAACAAGAACAGTACTGAGAAAAGCAGTATTTTCTCTGAACTCTGGCAATGGATGATGACGGTGGGCTGCTATCCAAAGAGTTACTTGCTTGGCTGCAGCAGGGGTCAAAGTCCTGGATCCAGTTAGGCACAAGCCTGCTTTCCACTCCTCTTCTCCACTGAGCATGGCAAAATACTCTGCAACTATAAAACTTGCTTGTCAATGCACGGATCACCCTTAATAATGACACTACATTGGAATGCTGCAGTGACCACACCCTGGCTGAACTTGTGATCTCAAGTAATATGGGCCAGGCATAAAAGCAAAGTCAGGACCCTGAACATTAGAGGAGCAAACTTCCAGCTCTTTAAAGAACCTGTCTTTACGGGAAAGAGGAACTGATCAGAACTGGAAACTCCTTAAGAACACTTTTCTTAGAGCTCAAGGGCTCTCCATCCCCGTGTGTAAGAAATCAAGCGGGGAAGGCAGGCAACCAGGTAGGCTGAGCAAGGGTTTGATGGTCAAACTGAGGCAAAAGAAGCAGGGCAGTGGAAGCAGGGACACATGGCCTGGGGAGAGTACAGGGATGCCATCCAGATATGCAGGGATGCAATCAGGAAAGCCAAGGCACAGATGGAACTGAGCTTGGCAAGGGATGCAAAGAATAACAAGAAGGGATTCCACAGGTACATTGGCCAGAAAAGAAAGGCCAAGGAGAGTGTGCCCCCTCTGATAAATGGGAAGGGAGAACTGGCAATGACAGACATGGAGAAGGTACTTGTTGAGGTACTCAACAAGTTCTTTGCCTCTGTCTTCACAGACATTCAGTCTTCCCAGGTCTCTCCAGTCCATGAACCTCTAGGCAGGGGCTGGGGGAACAAAGTCCTTCCCACTGTAAGCAAAGAGCAGGTTTGAGACCACCTGATGAAACTGAACCAGTACAAGTCTATGGGGCCCGATGTCATGCATCCCAGGGTCCTGAGGGAACTGGCTGCTGGAATTGCCACGTCACTCCCTATCATATCTAAAAAGTCCTGGCAGTCAGATGAAGTCCCTGGTGACTGGAAAATGGGAAACAACACTCCATTTTTAAAAAGGGTAGAGATAAGGACCTGGGGAACTACAGACTGATGAGACTCAC